TACACTGTGCGACTTTTTCACTTTTTTGAGCCGATTTTCCAGTCGTGCGAGAATCCACGACATCGGGGCGAGTTTTGCGCCGAGCGGTCGTGTAGTGTACAGGGGGTTACGAGAGGCGATTAACACCACGTGACCAGCTGCCGATCAGCAGTCGTGAGGTCGCACGGACATCTGGCGTGTTCAATATTTCGCTCGTCCCTCGTGAGGGTATCGCACTGTTGAAGCGGCGCTGCTAGCAGCTGCGACCCTAAAAGTATCAGAACCGCTCACGGCGCATGCGCAATCCTGCATCAACACCGCTCCCCGCTGTTTCCCTAATAACTCACATTATTCGTTTTTGTTTCTACACGTTTTTTTACTCACAAAGATTGTCAAGAAAGCGTGTTTGTCGTGTTCATAAATTAAACTGATCACAAAACACAGATTTACTTTCTTTATTTCATTTTTCTCATCCAACCCCATAAGTCGCTGTTTGTCCTCCCGCAGCACTCCCGAAGGACAACAGGCAAAACAAGACCAAAAAGTCTAAGGTGTTGTGTAAAAACTGCTATTTTTAGCATATTTTTAGGGCCGACATGTTGCTACCAGACGTACAGTGTGAGCACTCAGGTCGCATCCGAGAACTGGGTCGTACAGTGTGAGCGCCTGGCTCGTGAGATCTGCTCTGCGAGGAAGTCGTACAGTTTGAGCTGAAGCTGAGTGCTACAAGTGAAAAAGTCGCACTACGCCCGGCTTAAGACCCATGAGATTACATGTGGTAATCGATTTTAGGCCTAGTGCTTTTTAATCTGTATATACTTCCACTTGGTGGTGTCATCGTGCGACACAGAGTAACATTTCACAGTTATGCAGATGATACACAGTTGTACATCTCTGTGTCTCCCGATGACGCACGACCATTGGATGCCCTTTTTAATTGCATTTTGGATATTGAATCCTGGATGGCAGAAAACTTTCTCCAGCTTAACCGGGACAAAACCGAAAATTTAGTTATTGGTCCTGAGACCCAGAAAGATAAACTTTTACCAAATTTACAGTCACTAAGCCTTAATTCGTCTTCTCAAGTGAAGAATCTGGGTGTAATTTTTGACTCTGCGCTAACTTTTATCCCCCTCATTAAGAACAGTACAAAAATTGGTTTTTACCACCTGAAAAAGATCGCCAGAATCCACCCCTGTCTCTCTCTGGCCTATACAGAGACGCTGATGCACGCTTTTATCACCAGTAGAATTGATTGCTGTAATGTCCTGCTTTCTGGTCTTCCCAAAAAGAGTACCTCCGGTTTACAACTACTACAAAATTCAGCAGCTCGTGTCCTGAAGAAGAAGAAGAAGAAGAAAATGTCATCTCTATAGCGCCTCTCAAGATCAAAATCACGAGGCGCTTCAGAAAAACAAAAAATGTAAAAATATAAAAAAGCATTTAGAAAATGTTTAAAAATATATTTAAAATGAGCAAAAATAGACAATTGGGATTTAAAAGAAAAAATGTTAAGAAAGAGAGAGAGTGAGTAGGAAAGAGGGAAATCAGTGGATCCTGAGGAAGGTGGGATAGGTGGGGAGAGCAGAATAAAGAGAGAGTGGTGAAGAAGGTCATACAAAAGCCAGCTTGAACAAGTGAGTCTTCAGCTGCTTTTTGAAGGAGACCACTGAGTCCACTGATCTCAGGCTCAGGGGGAGAGAGTTCCAGAGTCTGGGGGCCACAGCAGCAAATGACCTGTCACCTTTGGTCTTTAGCCTGGTGCTGCACAACCAGTAGGCTTTGATCACTGGACCTCAGGGACCTGCTGGGGGTGTAGGGACTAAGAAGATCACCAATGTAAGATGGTGCTTGTCCATGTAAGGCCCTATAGACCAGAACCAGGATCTTGAAATGAACCCTGAAGTTGACTGGCAGCCAGTGATGCTGGAGGAGAAGCGGGGTGATGTGGGTGTGTTTGGAGGACTTGGTCAGAAGCCGAGCACAGGCGTTCTGAACCACCTGTAGACGGTTCAGGGAGGTTCTGCTCATACACGTGAAAAGAGAGTTACAGTAGTCTAAGTGTGAGGAGATGAAGGTGTGGATAACTGTCTCAAGTTCAGAGTGAGACAGAATGGGACTCAGCTTAGCAATGTTCCTGTGATGGAAGAAGGAAGAGCGAACAAGAGAACTGACATGAGAATCCAGGGTGAGAGCTGGGTCAAAGGTCAAGCCAAGATTCCTGACAGAAGGTTTGGTGTGAGAAGCAAGCTGACCAAGAGAGTCTCTGACTTTGGGAACCAGCTTGTCTGGGGCACAGATGAGGATCTCAGTCTTATCTTCATTCAGCTGTAGAAAGCTCCCAGCCATCCAGGTTTTGATAGAGTCTAAGAAGGTGTGTAACAGCTGCAGCTCAGACATCTCATGGGGCTTAAAGGAGATGTACAGTTGGATGTCATCTGCATACAGATGGTAGGAGATTCCTTTGAAGGAGCTCAGGATGTGCTGAAGAGGAAGCAGATAGAGGAGGAAGTGCAGAGTTTCCCAGCACAGAACCTTGTGGGACACCATGGGTAAGAGAGGTGGTGGAGGACCTAAACTTGGAGACGGCCACAGAAAAGGAGCGAGAGATAAGAGGAGAACCACTCCAGAGCAGATCCTGATAGGCTTACACAGTCTCTGAGCCTCTCCAGTAGCAGGTGATGGTCAACAGTGTCAAAGGCTGCAGTCAGGTCCAGCAGGACCAGAACAGAACAGTCCCCTGCATCACTGTGAGTCAGAAGGTCATTAGAGACCCTAAGAAGAGCTGTTTCAGTAGAATGAGCTCTTCGAAAACCTGACTGGAAGCAATCATAGATGTTATGTTCATCAAGAGCAGCTGTGAGTTGTTTAGCCACAACCTTTTCCAAGATCTTGGAGATGAACGGAAGTTTAGAGATGGGTCTGAAGCTGCTATGGAGAGAGGGGTCGAGACTCGGTTTTTTTAAGAAGCGGGTGGATTACAGCGTTCTTAAAGTAAGCAAGATGAAGACCAGGAGACAGGAGCACATTACACCGGTCTTAAACAAGCTGCATTGGCTCCCTGTATGTTTCAGGATTGATTTTAAGGTTCTTTTAATGGTTTTTAAATGTCTTAATGGTCTTGGCCTTCTTATCCCTCAGAACTGCTTCATAGATACGAGCCTTCGCGGTTCCTGCGCTCCTCTGGCAGCCATCTCCTCATCATTCCAAAAGTCAGGACACACTCCCAAGGCGAAGCATCCTTCCAGTTTTATTGCCCTCACCTCTGGAACAGTCTGCCAGAGAACCTCAGGGCCATAGCGAGTGTTGTTGTTTTTAAGGCCAGGCTCAAGACTCACCCTTTCAGTATAGCTTGTAGTTGATTTAGATCTATTTTAGCCTGTTTTACCATCTTTTATATATTTTATCAGTGTTTTATTACTTACTCTTTTACTTAAATGACACATAGTTTCTTATATATTAATTTTAACCAGTATTAATAATATGTTGTACAATATTTTTATATATTGAATTAAATGTTTCTACTTGGTTATCTTTTATCAGTGTGTTTTATTTAGATTTTTTTATCAGCTGTTTATGTTTAATTTGATTCTTAACTTGTTATCTTAATCTCATTAGTGAACCAGTGTTTCCTCTGTGGGGGCTGGCTGCCCCGGGGGGCAGCGGTTGGCTGTGGCTGCCGTGGTTCTCACGCCTCCTCTTGCCCAGGCCATTCTGTGTGTGTGTGTGTGTGTGTGTGTGTGTGTGTGTGTGTGTGTGTGTGTGTGTGTGTGTGTGTGTGTGTGTGTGTGTGTGTGTGTGTGTGTGTGTGTGTGTGTGTGTGTGTCTGCTTGGGATGGGATTGAGGGTGGGAAGAGGGACAAGGGGATCTCGGATCTCGTATGTAAATCTGTGTGGGAGGGGTGGGAAACCAACTGCTGTCGGATTGTTTTTAATATTGTAAAGCGCTTTGAGCTGCATCTGTATGAAAAGCGTTTCATAAATAAATTTGATTGATTGATTGATTGTGTACTGAAAAATGAAAAAGATGGTTAAAATAGTGACAGAAACAATAAAGTCTGACATTTTCCTGTAAGGTTCTTAAACTTTTTTCCATTTCTTGCCTTATTTCTCAGAAAAGTTCAACTAAAAATGTACATAAATTGTGAATTCAAAGGACATTTAAAAAGAAAATCCATCTAACTATGGAAATTTCTGTTCATCAGTGCACTATTTTTCTTTGAGTGCTTTTGTTTCAACCTCCAGCTAGATTCCTTTCAATTACTCTTGATAAAAAAGATTTATGATGTTAATTTTGCGCACTTTGAATAATTTATATGTATATATTTAATGTGACGTTTTAACATAATTGCTGATAAACTGCACTGTGGGCTTTGTGCGTACTTGAACATCCTCTTTTGACTTCTGTAGATTAAAATGAAGCTCATGATTTATTCATTTACACGTGTATATTCTTAGTAGTGATGGGAATTCCGGCTCTTTTTAGAGAGCCGGTTCTTTTGGCTCAGCTCACCAAAAAGAGCCGGCTCTTTCGGCTCCCAAGTGGCTCCTCAGATTTTCTGTTGCGTAATATCACCAAAAATATTGCTAAACTGTATGTAAAATGATTTACTAATGTAAAAAAATGTGATATATAAAATATTTATCATTTATATGGATTTATTTACTGAACACTAAGAAATCTCAACTTTCCGACTGCTGTCGCTCTTCATTCATTCATTTCCTCCTCCTCATTCCCTCTCGTCTCCCTCCGCCTGCATGTGCTCGGCTGCGTGTCTGAGTCTGACCCTCCCTCTTCCCCGCCCCTACTGCTCTGTGTGTGGATAGTCTGGACATGCAGTTGACATGTTGGTGAAAGCGAGAGGGGAAGGGGAGGGAGGGTGACGGCTCCCGTTGTTCACTTCATAGAGCCGGCTCTTAGAGCCGGTTCGTTCGCGACCTTCACATCACTAATTTTTAGAGCTGTAGATTTCTCTTTTTCAAACTGATGCATTGTTTCTCTTTTTTCTCCTGTTTTTTAGATGTAAATGGAGATGCAAGAGGAGCACCAAGGATCTGGACGTCCGGATGGTTTTAAAGTGCTTTGCATTGAACTGCAAACAGCATCCCTTCTCTCTAAAGTAATGCATAATTGACAATTAATGTCAAACTGCATGCAGGAGCAGCTTAATGCTGCTTCACGGAGTAGAACATCACTAATGGAAAGACCTTACGAGATCCAGCTCATCAAAATACACCTTAGAGCAGCATAATGCCTTCAAAAGTATCATGTCTATACTTGTTGACGGTGGTCTGCTGGGCGAGCGCTCTGTGGTACTTGAGTATCCCTCGCCCAACGTCCACGTATGGTGACCACTTGGAACTACCTAAACGAATGATATACGGTAAAAATCTCACCTTCAGCAACATCCGCACTCGCTCCCTTAACCCACATGCCTTTGAATTTGTAATCAACGAGCCAAAGAAGTGCACCAGTGTTACGCCCTTCCTCGTTATCCTCATCAGCACCACGCACAAGGAGTTTGATGCACGCCAGGCCATCCGGGAGACCTGGGGGGACGAGAACACCTTCGGCAACATCCGCATTCTCACCATCTTTCTGCTGGGCTGGAACACGGATGCTGTGCTGAACCAGATGGTGGAACAGGAGAGTCAGATCTTCCATGACATTGTAGTGGAGAATTTTATTGATTCGTACCACAATCTCACACTGAAGACCATGATGGGAATGCGGTGGGTGGCAACCTTCTGTCCAAAGGCGCAGTATGTTATGAAGACGGACAGTGACATCTTTGTCAACATGGACAACTTAATCTACAAGCTTCTGAAACCCGTCACCAAGCCGAGGAGGAGATATTTTACAGGTTACGTGATCAACGGTGGTCCCATCCGGGACATGCGCAGCAAGTGGTACATGCCCAGAGACGTTTATCCTGACAGTAAATACCCACCGTTCTGCTCAGGCACTGGCTACGTGTTCTCAGGAGATGTAGCAGAGCTAATCTACAAGACGTCATTGCACACAAGACTGTTACATTTGGAGGATGTCTACGTGGGGTTGTGTCTGCGGAAGTTAGGCATACACCCTTATCAGAACAGTGGCTTCAATCACTGGAAAATGGCTTACAGTCTCTGCAGATACCGACGGGTTATCACCGTCCACCAGATCTCCCCAGAGGAGATGCACCGCATTTGGAATGACATGTCCAGCAAGAAGCACCTCCGATGTTAGGTGACGTGTAGATCACTAAACACGTTAACTCCTTCGTTTTGTTATTCCCTTTTTGAAAAATCACCACATTGAACAATGGAAAAAAACAACTGAGGGCTTCTGCAGGTCGGTTTTCTGACACGTCATTGTGTCTTTTTCTCCTGATTACACCACATGATGGCTCGTAAGGCATATCCTCATCCTTAAAGTTGTTTTAAGTCTAATTTTAAAAATAAGCATCTTTATGAGATTTTAATTGATCAGAGAAAAACATCAATGTGGCCTGCAGAGACAACCTTGGTTAAAGGAATATTTTTGGTTTTATGTAGTGGAGTTATGGATTACTAATGAGCAGACAGTGTCTTATCGCCCTTTAGTTTAAAACATGTACGTCACTTTGGATAAAAGCATCTCCCAAATAAATAAACATAAACATTATCGCTATTAGAATAATGTCAGATTGGAGACTAAGAGCGAAACTCATGTGGGGGATTTAAAAGGGACATAACTTCTTTAGAAGTTATAATAGGTCTAAACAAACTATGTTCATGAAGTTCTTCACACTAACTTGGTGATTTCAGTGACTTTATTTTTGACATTTTCAGTGCCTTCCAGAATGAGCCGTGTCAGGGCTCTGTCATTTTAAGGAACTTAAGCTGTTGCTGTCCACGCCCACCCATGCCCTGATTGGCTGCTATTCTTGTACATTAGGTCTATGTGTAAGTTCATAATCCATTACTTTGTTAATTTCTACACAGCTTAGTAAAAAAAATAGATTTTTACTCCATACGTTTCAGCTAATGCATTTAGCCATCATCTGCGGATAAACGGAAGTGACGCCATCAACACTGGTGAACTCTGATGATGGCTAGAGGCATTAGCCAAAACATATCAGGTAAAAGGCACTTTTTTTTCTAAGCTGTGGAAAAGTAATGGGTTTAAATCTTCCTTATTTTGATGTCTCAATAAGGGGCTTTTTGAAAAAGCTTGTTTTGGGCACATGAAACCAAACACTGGTGGATGGATTTCATTCGTGTTTGGGGCGCTTAGAGAGAGTAGAGATTACACCAGAGAAGGATGTGAAAAGAGTTTTGCTTGATCCGTCCTCTTTAAACAAACAAGCACTCAAAAGAAGCACCCTTTAGGAAAGATGTTCCAATAAAGTAAATCAAATTTGAAGAGAATTTAAAGAACTTCATAAGCACCTATTTTTTTTTTTACTATAGATCTATTATCCCTTTTCAAAATAAAAGAAAACACTATAATAGTTATCCTTTACATATTACTTTAGGATTAAACGGTCGTTTGTATTCTCAACCAAGCAGCGTCTGCGTTGCTGTGTGTAATCACGCATAGAGGCTGTCTGGTGTATCCGGCAGCTAAACCTTAAACAGATATTAAAGCAGACATGGCTTTTGTAATAAAAAAGGGTATTTGCATGAGTTTTGTTGCAGCTCCTGGTAGACTCAGCTGATGATTAGTGTGATGCACACATGCTCAGTTAGTATAGCAACATGAAAATTGCCCTGTGGGAAACAAGTGCCACATGCAAAAAGGGCAGAGTGAACAATACTTTGAGTCCGAGTTGTTTTAAGACGGTAGAAATATCTGATGGCCTGTTAGCTTAGTTTCTCTCAAATTACAAACTGTTGCCTACTGCAGATAAGACACTAACTGCTTAAAAGTACTCTGCACTTCTAACAAAAACCCCTATCCTTTAAAACCCCGATACTTTAAACCTGACTGATATAAGTGTCCTTGAGCAAGAATCTCGATTAGCTTCACAGCTTTTGATCCAGAACCCTGCAGTGCAAAACATAAAAATGTGAAAAAAATCAATGAAGTATTACAAAAGTATAGACCACCCCTATATAATAAAATTCAAGTATAGCAAAGCTTCGAGAAAAAGCAAATGTAACCCTCATGACCATTTAGTTGAAATGTGCACTTACACCCCCCCCCCCTCCCCTCCATCATCCTAATGAGGCTAAAAATAAACTGCAGTTTCTAACCAAAATTCAACATCAAGTAGACAGAAATAATGGTCTAATTTCCAAATGGCAATCTAGAGAACTTGCTTTATTTAATAAGAATTTGCCTGTAATGCTTTGTTTACACACAGTGATCATCACATTGCCTTCTCTTTCTGAAATAAGTAGTGCGTATGTTTTTGATTTTAGATGCTTTTCCTTGTTTTCTCACTTTGACATTTCTATGCCCGGGGTAATTATGCATCTCAGCTACCAGCCTCTCATTACAGAAGCTGCTGCGCTTGTGTGTGTTGTAAATCAGCAGCTGTTTCAGCTCATCAACTCCTCAGCGCAGCAAGAAAAATACTGAATCATGTCGTGAAAGTCCCTCTTTATGTCTAGCTGGGATCATTACAGACTGGATAGATTTTCATATGAATCTGGCATATCACTGGCTACAGAGGCTCAGCGCCTTGGGCTTCCTGACAGGGTTGCAGAAGGCGCTTTATAAATAAAGCTTTGATTGATTGATTGATTGATTGATTGACTGAGAGGCACTGTATTAATACCATGGAGGATCTGGCTTTGTTGGCCAAATGTTCTTTGATATCTTATTTTCCCCCATAGGTTTTGTAGTTCTATAAGCTAATGTGACATTTACTGTGAAAGCATCTATCCCACAATGGGTTGTTGTTATATATTGTATGTTTTTATAATGGAAAAAAGCTAAATACTTGAACAATTAAATGAAATTGCTGCTTTCATCTGTTGTCTTTTTTTTGTTTATCAAACAGAAGTTGTAGGTCTGGTCAGGCTTGTGGTATAGCAAGTTGAATTTTTTAAATAAAAATAATTTGAATAACGTAAAATGTGCATTTTTATGATTTTTCCAAAAATACAAGTGCATCTAATGCTAATCTAACAACTGAAATCTAATATATGAAATCAAAACATATTTTCTACTATTTCATTCTGATTTTAATGAGTCACAGGTTTTTTTTTTTTGTTGTTTTGCATCTTGGAAACTACCTTGTATATTTTAGAAGAATCTGAATGTAATCTTAGTCCAGGCAGTCTTTATGTTTACCAATCCATCATTTGCTGGATCCACTGAATAAATCAAATATATTTACATATTTGGAAAACTTCTTTAAAAACACAGTGGAGGAAATGTTGCAGCAGCAATTATTGTAACTTTTTAAACATTTCTATAGGTATGCAAAGATGTGATAGATTGTCTTTATTATATCTATTTTTTTTTATTAATGGACCAGTAAAGGTACATCAAAGACGTGAAGCCTGGCATATGCTGCTGTCGACAAAATCTGTTGAAATCAACATTCAGCTTTGATCGAACAGTTAAAAGTGTAGGTTTAAAGAAAGGAGTGAGTGCAAATATTATGACAAAATATAGTTAAAGGTGCAATATGCAAGAAAGAGGTAAAAAATGACTTTGTGTGGTCAAATCTTGGTACTGCTGTCTATTTTTCTAAAAAAAAAAATAGTTACTATCTCACTCCCATTCCTTGAGTTTCATGGCTGTTGCTAGTTACAGATCAGCACCAGAAGATTCTAGATGACAAGCAAAGACGAGTCATACACAAGTTAAATACATTTTCTAGTCATATCTGGTCGTAGCAGTCTTGGGTGTTTTACGTAGGGAGAACTTACACTTATGCTAGTATGTTTCTGGCATTAGAGGTAGAGTGGTTGTTTGCCGTCTTGCAATTAGCTTGTTTTTATAGTTCTGAACGACCCATTAAAGGAAGTAAAACGCCACAATTGACTTATTATTCACTTCACACACACATTTCACTGTAATATTAAGTTGTTGGTAATTGAAAAGATAGCTTGAAATATTTTTAAAGCTGACGTTTTCTAAATGGTAAACGGCCTGTATTTGATATAGCGCCTTCTAGAGTCCTAGAACCCCCCAAGGCGCTTTACAACACAATCAGTCATTCACCCATTCACACACTGGTGGGGATGAGCTACAATGTAGCCACAGCTGCCCTGGGGCGCACTGACAGAGACGAGGCTGCCGAGCACTGGCGCCACCGGTCCCTCCAACCACCACCAGCAGGCAACGTGGGTTAAGTGTCTTGCCCAAGGACACAACGACAGCGACAGACTGAGCGGGACTCGAACCAGCAACCTTCCGATTACGGGGCGAGCACTTAACTCCTGTGCCACCGTCGCCCCACTAACTCACTGTTAGCATAGTTAACTCAACGTTAGCCTCTAGCCTATTTTACTCGGTATTAAAGTAAAACAAAAAGCTGCTGTGGCTTCTAAGGGGTACAAGAAATAACTTCTGGGTCGCTCCAGTTTACTGGCTTTGGTTCTTTAAACAACTCTGGAGCTTTTTACCTGCTGGCGTCAAATTATAAATGTCAGGACTCAGCGTTAACTCGGTGCAGACTCTACAACTCTGCAGCTAACAGGTTGTAAACAAAGACAATACGTTCCTCTTTGACCATTTTGAAAGAAGAAAATCTGTCAACCTCCCAGCTGCCAGAGGAGCAATTCTTACATACTGCTCCTTTAAAAGTCAATTTATGTAACATAAATATTAAATAATCACAATTTTTTTTAAATATTTATTTATTTTCTACTCTTCATCAGAAATTTTACATTAATTGATTACAGAGAAAGCGAATGAGTAATACAGAATGCACATAATGTACATAAAAAACACATGTTACTACAGAAAGTAGAAACGCTTTAGAGAAGTTAATATTTACCACCTCAGTACTTTTAATAATTTAGTGCTACTAGATTTGTTTGCACCAACAAATGGCTCATCACACTGCTGAGTGGCAGTTTGATTCCATATTTAGATGCAAAAGTAACAACAATTGTTTCAGAGAACAAAAATGTAAGTACTGGGGTTTTGTGGATTAGCTCCTGAAGCAACCAGAAGAGATTATAGACTTAAAACAATAAGCACACAGAAGAAGGTAATCATGTTTTTGAGCCACTAATGCAAACAAAGTAAAATGCACTTAAAATAGTATTTCTTCATTTCTGGAATGATTTTTTTTTAGAAATCTGTAAAAGTGATTGTCTTACCCTGTACTGTTATATAATGTAGGCAATAAGTCAACTTTTTTTGTGCGTGGCATGGCCAAGATGGTGGTGGTGGTGGTGGTGGGAACAGCCCGCTGGGTTTCAGTTAGGCTCTTCAGAAACCTATGGGTAACGGTGCGGAGGGTTTGCCCATTCTAAATACAGTCATTGGTGTTTGCAGATGTACCTGAACTGATGCAGACAATTCTTATGGACAAGTTGGTCTTTAATCACGGAAGTAGGGAGATGGGCTTAAGGTGCATTACATTTTTCCACTTTTAAATGGTGCCCCTGACAAAAAACACCAGATTCCTGCTTTAAATGCAAGTTACGAAGACAAACCAGTGGAAGATGCATGGAAATGTTCTAACTGAATATGTATTTCTAAGTTGTATATACTTAAGCTGCAGTAAACAGTAAGCAGATATCTAAGTACTATGTACTGGTTTAGCTTAGATATGACAACTTGCATTTAAATGCATTTTACTTTGGGAGCATTAGTGGCTCTGTGACATAATTACCTACTCTCGTGTACTTATAATATGAAGTGCCATCAGTTTGCATGGTTTTTTTCAAGTGAAGTCAACAAATTAGATTTTACAGTGAATGTTTTATAATGTTTCTCTGACGAAAAAAGCACAATAAAGAACTCGTCTCCACGGGCTGAGCATCTGCACGTGCTCAGTCCACAAAAAGTGCATTTTAGCTTGCCTCATTAAGACGCTTCACAAGAACTGAGCTGATGTTGGAGGAATATTTTGTTGAAATGGCGATCAGCGGGTTCTTTCAATGTGGTCTCGCTCACTGATAGCCTTCTTAGGCACAGAAAAATGAACAAGGCACCTGCAGCATTTCTGAAGCATCAACACCGATAAGAGCGACAAATTATACACAGTAGCATCCAGGTCTCGCTTATTTCTCAACCAAATGCTTCAGTTTTTCTTCATGTGAAACAGATTTTGACACATAAAACAATTTATTGTCTTTTCAGACATTCATTATATTACTATAAAAAATGTGCTTCATCTCACAAATTAACTAAGTTGTACATTCTGACACAGACTTCAGGGAAACTTCACAAGTGAGTGGGTTTGGGAGCTGTGAGACAAAGCAAATTTGTTTCCACAGTGGCAACAAAACAGTGCAAGAAGGAAAAAAAACAAAAATATCTTCTCATTTTAATAAATAATGAGACTGCTGCTGAAGACAGCAGTAATGTGATGTAAAACTAAATAAATTAAACATTCAAAGCTACATTTGTATTTCCTTTCACCGCCTGAGTACATCTTTTGGTTCCTTGGGCTTGTGTCCTGATCCTGGTGTGCGTGCTGGAATGTTAAGGTCAAAGGTCGAGGGACAGTGAGCAGAAAAGTCAATGCTAAGGAGGTGTAGGTGGCAGAGTTCAGTCTCAGGAAAGGTGAAAGGGAGGGAGGGAGGAGTGAATTGGGGAAAAGATCCTGCAGGAAGTGGTTGTGGTGGTGTGTTCCTCAGTCTGTCCGCCCTGAACTGTCTCACCTACTTCAAGCATGAAGGGAGCATCAGCTAACGCTTAGCTGTGCAAAACCGATCAGCTTCACCTCATCTGGGATCTCCGTGTCATCGCAGCAGGAAGCCTGCACATAAAAACAGGGAATCTTTCAGCTTTTATACAGATAATAAAAGATCATCAGAGTGAAGCTAGGTAAAATCTGTTAGTTTTTTTCTTCTTTTGAGACTGTCTTCTGCTTAAAAGCAACACTTCAGGTCATTTCTGCAAAGAGTTATTAATGAAGCTTTTGTTGCTCCTAAAACGCCCACTTGCACAACTGAAAGTAACCGTAAGGAGTTATGTATTTAGTACAAAAATGAAAAATAAAATAAACTCTGTGAAGCTTTAGGGACTTGCAGGCTGAGGCACAAATTTCTCTGCCAGATCGCAACAACCAATTGTTCCTCAATTATGTGATCATCAGAAAAACAGACTGAATTAGAAAAGAACAGCATTTGAATGAAAAATGAAAGAATAATGTCTTTTGTTTAAGATTTCCCTCAACAGAATGAAAGCTAAAACGTACAAAGCTAAACCGAACTAAGACCACAAGTAAAGTAGAGCTCACTCTGTAGCCAAATTTGCTAAAGATCTGTTTGAGTAAAATTATTGTATGTGCAACTCTACAAGCTCCACCTGAGATCTGTGTATTCACCAGGGTTTTACACATTTTTCTAATTCAGACATCATGAACTAAAAGGATTTCCCAGTATCCTTTACTAACGATTTACACATGGACAGAAGATTATATATATATATATATATATATATATATATATATATATATATATATATACTTATATATACTTATATATACATATATATATATTTTTTTAAGGCCGGGTATCGATTAAAATAAATAACTAATTAATCGCAAATCTGCAAAAAAAATTATCGCAATTCATTATAATTTTTTTTCCAGAAAAAGCAAGCAATAAACATGCGAAAAATATACAAGAGAGGTTCATTTTATTTAGAAAGTGCATAACTTGCTGAAGTGTGTAAAATCACTGAATACTGTCTTTAACAGAGAAAACCTAAAATCAAATCCAGTTTCTGTTCAAAAACATTGTTGGAAAAAGTCTATTGTGTAAACAATGAACAGGAAATAAATCTAGCACGGTTAGCTTATGTTATTCAATGTAAATGTCATTTTCCACAGCATCAGTTGAACTAGAAATGCCAACTCCCTAAAAAATAAATAAGGGACACCTTGCTGGCATGGCCCCCAAATGCTTTGATACGGCCCTGGATGGGACGGAGTTTTGAAAGGTCACTTCAGCTTTAAAACTGCTATAGCGCCGTGACGTCCCAGTCCATAAATTGTACACATAAAGTGTTATGAACTGTTCCCCTTGTGAGGGTAATTATTCTCTCTCCCTGATCTTTACTGCAGTAGCCTCATAACTCTTTGCTTACAACACTAGAGCAGAAAAGCGGTGCGGATTTAACTCTGTCCTCCGTGACGCAGCCTTAAAAACGAGGCTGTTCCATGACACCGTCATTGTATCGCTTGCTCAAAGTCAACAGAGACCGGATCAGCTACTCGTTCAGGTCTGCCTACGAAAACATTGTAAGTCAAAACACAAATATTTTTCTCTCAAAAAATGATTTCAGTGTTTCATTAAGCCAACTAAAGCAAGTTTTGCAACAATCAGCAGGTCTTCTGTGCAAACGGAGTGTGAACTTTGAAAAGAAAGCATTTCTGGTGCTGGCTGAGAACTGAGTTTGACCTACAGTTTGGAGCCAAAGACAACTTTTTAAAAGATGCAACAAAACAATAAGATGGTGACAGTTTGTCCTTGTGCAGAGCTGTGTAGTTCATGTGTTTACTGCAATGACTTATTATTGCTCAAGCACAACAATGTATTATTTAAAAAATCAAATTAAATGACTTGACCTGGTCAATGTCACTTCTGACATGACAAAAGGTCAGCAAATCACATTAAAGCTTTAACAGTCATTCAGGGGCTTGTTTATTACCAGACAAACCTTAAATATAAATCATAGTCATAAAAAAGAACTGTGTATCAATCTTTTATATTAAATCAATGTTTCGACAATTTTTAATAAAGCTGATAACAGAAATGTGTGTTTGCGACAGAAACCCCATAGCAACAGAAGTTCTCTGATGCCAAAGCCATTTGTTTTGTCTGTTCTATTATCTCTAGCTCCTACACGTCTCACCAAATCATTAATCAACAAGCTGTTAACTGCTGGACAGGGTCAGGCATAACAAAACGTAGCCAGATGTCATCAACCATCAATCATGTGGAAACTCACCAGCTTAAAGGTCAATACTTTAAAGGATATTGGGTCATCTACAATCTTCTGAAGGTTAGCAGCAACTGTGATAGAGAGGAGAATAATAAATTAAACGACAAACATGAAAATGTGTTGTTTTTCGATGTCGTGATGAACAACACATTGTTGTCCGAGAGGAACTCAGATGAAATGTAATGAAAACGTTCTTTTGTTGACAGAATTGTTGTGTTTCCTGTTTTAGATTTCTGCCATGAAGATAAATTAAAAATGAAGGATTTGTGTTACTTGCTCTGAGAAATCAAGATTGCGTAATGGCGGAAAAAGATTGGCGAGCCAGCAAGACCGTTTTAGATTTTGTGAACTTTACAGGTAAGGTGAATCAATCGTTGCAAGTAAATATGCTCTCAGACGGATGTAAAGTGGTAAACATGCTCATAAAAATACAATTCATAGATGCAACATTACCAATTACGACATCAAGCCCATTGACCAGACCAGCTGAGAAGAGTTCCTGGGAGACGCCGTCAGCTGTATCTTGTGAGAGAGTAACATGAGATTTAATTTAGCTGTCATATCCAAAAGCTAGACACTGACCAGAGCACACGGATATAATTTATTATATAATCACAGGAATTTAATGGGAAATAATTTAGTTCTTACCTCGCCCTGGGGTGAACTCAAACCGGATGTCATTTAGCTCCTTTTTGGAGTTCCTGAAGAAGAAGACAGGTGAGTGCTAAGCTTGTTCCTCATACGTTTACAGGAAGATCATGGGGAACACAAGGGAGATCAGTGTTTGGCTGCACACGTACAAATCGACATGTGCGAAGAAAAAATATGGAGAAAAAAAATATGGAGAAATGTGTTCTGCGGCACAAAGATGTGACAGAAGACTTCCTCCTGCTAAGAGCTGAAACCCAACCCTTATGCAATCTACAGTCTGGCACACACAGTCGCACATAATCCGTCGTGCTGTCTCTGATTCTCAGCAAACAGTCAGTCATTTCATCTTCCTATCGGGATTCTCACACCATCTCTAAAATAGATCGGAAACACTACAATCCATTTATTCAGTGGCCATGCAGCTTCGTATTATTCCTCCGTCTCCTTCCATCTTCATTTCTTCACTTTTTTTGTTTATTCTAACTGTGAACTCTGAGTTTTTTGCATCTCAATGACTTCACAATATCAGATCAACTCACCAAAGTTTTTCGATTAGGGGCACACATGCAAACTCTACATCATCCCTGAAGAATTACCCTGCTTAAACAAATGCCATTTTATTTGCCATAAATCACTGTAAATTGCAGTAATTCACCTTCAGTTTATGCTTTCTGCTACAGCAAAGGAAAGGCTGCATAACTGGAATCACGTTTGTGATCACCTGAAAAGTCGGTATTCTCACTACTCGGCTTTTGGCTTTACCAACATCTGATGAATTTGTCCCTTTCGCTGCTAAATGTAGCATCAAGTTCACAAGCTAGTCATTAATCTTGTCTGTGTACTTGTTGGTGCTTTGAAAAAACAGTTATTTCTGCAGTGAGGAGAAGGGCTGTGAAGCCAAAACAGCATGAGTGCATTTAAATTCCCTGTTGTGAGGAGAATATTAGACGTTTTGTAATAATTCTCCCAACGTTTGTCACTGTCTTTAGCAAAAATCCTCGAATATCTTTCAACAATGCTCCAAACCTTTGCAGCTAATGGTGAATTAATTACTTTCAGGCCAATGTGTGACACAATGACGGTTAACAAGGTTTTTTTGCTTAAAGATTTTGATGTAAAGACATGGCAACAGAGTAAAACAGTTGTAGCTGTCAATGCAACAATTACGCAAAGGAGATTTCTCATTAGATGTTTCCACACACTGCGCAAGAGTAAAGGAACAGCTGTCCCACAGCTTCGCGTTTCCTTCATCCCTGCTGTGTTGAGGTAAATCTGTATTGTGGAGCTGCATAAAAGTGATAAAAAATAGTGGATAAGACAACATGCGGTGTCTAAAATTTAAACTGTCTGGCTTGTCCTCTGCAACATCAACTTGAAGGTGCAGCGTGTGATGTGCGGCATAAAGAAGTAATTTGTGGTTTGGGAATACCTGCTTCTTGCTACAGGCAGAACCCGATCGTGTTACAAGCCAAAACAACTCACAGGAGAAGATTAATTTGGTTCGTAGTACAGTTAAATAAATCACCTGACAAGCCCTACGACCCGCATTTTCAAAGAGACTACACTCATAAGTCAACACAAACAAATGGAGGCACATTGGTGATCATTTTTATACATGCAACCCCTTATATAATGGTCCAAGGTTTGATTAATTACTGCATTGTGAGTGAACATTTAGCTATTTTGATTTTTAGGATTTTTGACAGACGAAAATGACACATTTCTTTTTCCAGCAGGGGAAATATAGCTAGTTAGAACTGAAATAACCAATGAACGAAGCATGGATGTCAGATCATTCAAACACTGTTGCTGGCGGAACAATTTATGGAAAGCTATCACTATATCAATGTGGGCAGTATCAATAATGCAAAGCTTGGACTGCAATACATAAAGATGATTATATTCCAAGTGCAATGGGTTTAAGATCTGCAAACCACAATTAAATTCGGGTAATCATATTGAATCGCTGCCATTGATATCCACTGATGTTTTATGTGAAAACGCTAAAGCACTGTTTGCATTGAGGTGACAGAACAAAATATAATGTAGGAAATATCAGAGCGTTTTACCTCTGATATATTGCCATTGCAATATATAAAAGGTGAAAAAATGTAACAATGACATCCTGTGGTCTAATTTGGGTACTGCAGTCTATGTTTCAAAACAAAAAAGGGTTTTCACTACACCACCCCCCTTTGTGAGTTTCATACTGGTTGCCAGTTACAGATCAGCTCCAGAAGGTTACCAATAACCTGGCTCAGTTATGAACACACTCATTTTCCTGAATGAAAGACAGGTCTTCAGTGTTAAATTAGCGTCAACAAAATTCAAACAATAATAGGAAAGGTATTGTAAAGGCAATACATAGCCAAATGAACATTAGAAAAAATCTAATTGTGATTAGCACTTTTATTCTTGAGCCCTTACATAACATTTTATTTATTCTATTTGGTCATCATAAAATTGTTAAAAGCTTCACAGTTCGGAAATTTACCATATTCTTCAGGCTAAGTTGTATGAAAAAGTTTTAAAAATAGTCCTAAACGGCAAAAATAGAAAGCTATTATCTCCTAAATGGTGCAGCTTGAGATGCTCGTGCAGAAGGTGAGGAGGATGAATGTATTATTTGTTTCAGAAGCTCTTCTTCTTGCTTATTGATGACAATCAATGTGCTTTTTCTTCAACTGAACATCTTCTGTCAGCATCTAAAATCTGCTAAACTCTAACAAAACCATTGGAAAACACAAATAAATATTTTTTCTTTGAATATTTGAGCTTCACAGACAAAATAATAGCTGAAAATTAAATGCACTTCCTTTTTTGGAACCTAACCCTGTCCTGGAGTTTCAATGTTTTTATTTAAGAAAAAAAAGGTCTGTCAGTTCTGAGCCAAATGCTGAAAATAAACTAGAGATGCTGCTGTTTTCATCATTTCCTTTTGAGAGGATCAAATTATCATAAACCAAAGCCAATCAGCTGCAACTTCCCTCTCTGCTGAGAAAGGAAGCCAATTAGATGTTGATTTTTGTCTCAAATGCAATTACCTTTATGTTGTCCTCTTTCTAAAGTCGCAGTTTTAGATATTTATTTATTTACTTTTGTTTATTGACAGGTTCATAAAGCTAAAGCATCTTCTCCCTCGTTGGCAAGTGTTTGTGAGCATTTTAGATTAAAGTGTATTTCAACTGGAGATGGACGGTCAAAAAAGATAATAAAATGTACAAACCAGAAATATTTATGTTTACTTTACAAAGTCCAAACAAAGCTTTTTATTTAACCTGCTTCCTTTACCTCGACCACCTCATTTGCAGCCTGATCCTGTAAAAGAAAGCCATAAACATCTCTCTACCTCTAAAAACACGAGTGAGGGGGGAACGGAAAATATGCTTGCAGATAGATTTATTTAAAGTGTCAGCAGCAGAAAAATGGTTTCTGGTCGTGCAATTGACATTTAGCCCTTCACGTTAAAAGGATTGTTTGGTTACGCGATACTTTTTCAGCAAGACAAATGAAAAAAGTGAGAATCTTGTCATTAAACCTTAATTATGGATTTTTTTTCCTATAGGTGAAAAACTACACTGCTGCTTAAGCCCCTCCCCCTACTTCTATGACTACTGCTGGAATCAGTGTCTCTTGTTCCGGAACGTGCACTTTGCAGCCAACGGAGCTAAAGCACATCATTTTTAAATTATGGTTTGTGCACACTTCCTATGATTGACTGTGGGATGTGCAGGGTAAGATTATCACTTTCAATGATTTTTCAAATATGACACATAATTCCTGAAAGGGGAAACTCTGGATTGATGCTTTAATCCAGAGATGGTGCAAAAAGTTTCAAAAGGCACAGTCAACACCTAAAAACAATAAGGCTCCTAAACTTGCATCTAAAATGGCTTTCTTCAAATTTGGACCAATAATGAAACATTTCTTGCTGAGCAATCAAAAACAATATTTTGCAACCTCATCTTAGATATACATTCATTCAGTGTTCTTTTATTTAAAAACAGTAATAATGAAAGTGTGTGCTTTTAGAATGGTAATCATTATATCTATTCTGTGCAGCAAGGTTGAGCCACAGATTAATAATAAAACTGAAAAGCATGAAGCTGAAAACATCAAAGAACCTCTTATTTTATTTTTATGGCCATATGCAAGAATAATGAATTGTCAGCTACCACCTGTTGTTTTATACCTCGAGTGAAAGAAATAAAAAGAGCTGATTGATGCACAGAAAGAGGGGAGAAACCTTCAAATATCTGCTCAGGCTGGAGTGTGCTCAGCGATCGACAAGCAAACGGTCAGCTGTCAAAAAAAATCACAAACGGCTTTTGGTTCAACTTCAGGGTGTTTTGGAAAAACTGACTCATTTCATTTAAGAAGGGAGTGAAGTGTACGGCTAAACTGAGTAACTGACCCTAATCTCTAATTTAATTATTGCTTCAGTCTCTGCATCAGTAATTCTGACTGCATCACAAACCTCCACTTAGTCACTGAAATAATTTCATGGGGAGCCATCCATAAAAAACATTTTTGCAGTGTGGGTGAATTCTAACCGTTCAAGACCAAGACAATAAAAACAAAACCTTTCAGCTGCAAGCACATGTAATGTGAGGAAGTATGGGTTTTTCTGTGCCAAAGGTCGTATTTGCCTGGCTGGGTCAAAGCTGGGTCACGCAGCAACTTTTACCCACAGATTAAGACCTGAGCTGACAGCAAGTCTGAAGGACTCCACAACATCGAGAACACCTGCTCTCCAGAAGAAGGAATTCTCACACAATCTAGTCATAATAAAGAGTCTTACGCTTTCTTTGTTTATTAATGCTAAATAATCATTTTATCACTTTACTCATTATAAATGTATTTTAATTAAATGAATGATTATTATGCTTTGGGTAATCATAATGAACTATAATGAATCAATACTTAATTAAATAATGTTTTTGGGAGATGTTTAGCGATGACCTTCACACTCGCTCACACAGGTCTGTATCCACAGTAACGCCAAAACACATTTGCTCTGACGCACAAGTTTGCTTTGGGAAGAGAAGTGGTTTTGGATAAGTCATTCAGAACGAGATTGACAACGAAAGAGAGCGGACGTGTGGAACGAACACCACGGGGAAGGGAGCCTGCAGGCTCCTGTCCCCCCCCCCCCCCCCCCAACGCTATTTCTGTCAAGCCAGACAGAATAGCTGAAATGCAACCGCTTACGCAGACTCGTCCCAGAGTCTTTGATTTCTGAGTTTATTTAAACTTGAGAAAGCGCATCTGCCGAACGCTTCAGCAACGTGTACCGAGGTCAACCCGGGACTGGACCGTCGCACACCTAGGTCTTCCCTGCCAGCCCAGGTGTCTTCTGGACAACACATCCTCCGGGGTCCGGATCTAAAGGGGGTCCCAAGTACGGTGAGGCAGAACACGATAGATAGCGTTCTGATGCTGGTTTCCTAATAAGAACTAAAGTTTAATTCAAACCATCATTTTTCACTCAGACACCTTTTCTCTCCCTGAAGCAAACTCAGACACCTGCATGCACACATTCATAATTCCATTATCCTCAATCTTAGCACAAACAACACAAGGTCTATTTGTGCAAGCTTAAAATATCAACTGTTAAAGATTGTCCAACAAGGTTGCTAATGTTGATTATTTTTCCTATGATTGTCATTTGAAATCATTAGTTTAAATTGAAGAATTTAACTCTTAAATTTCAAACTTGTCTCTTCATTGAACTGAAACACAGACAACCGGATATGATCGTCAGTTTATCGATGAAAACAATCTTTGAGTCTTCTTATCTCTATAAATTTGGTTATTAATTTTGTTAAAATTAATATTCCAGATTTTTATGTCGAATGGTTCATCTTTCATAAAAGAGCCATAAACCATTACACTACAATGCATCTATAAGTGACCTGCATTTGTGTGTGTGTGTGTGTGTGTGTGTGTGTGTGTGTGTGTGTGTGTGTGTGTGTGTGTGTGTGTGTGTGTGTGTGTGTGTGTGTGTGTGTGTGTGTGTGTTTCCTGAAGTCTTACCGTAGTCGCAGTACCATGTTCACAGCACCCTGAATGAATTGTGTATTTTCATACGGCTCCACCTGCATAAAACATATTCTGGTCAAGAATCAGGTTTGTACACTGCAAAAAACAACTTTCAAGAAAGTAAAAAGCCTTGCACATAAATCTAAAAGATTCATTTGCTACTTTAAGGATTCTAGCCAAGCAACCTTTGCTTAACCCCTTGGCAGATTCTTTTACTCAAAACAAAAACATTTCTACCATATTTATGAATATTTACCGCATTAGTGCTGTTTTTGAAGATAATATTTTTAGACAAAACATAAGATAAAATGTCTAAAAACAAGGCTTTTTTAGGGATGTCCGATCCATTCAAGTGTAAAATCAGAAATTATCAGTATGAGTTTTACTCTTTAACTTTTACATACCATGCACGGGTTATACATCTCTTTAGAGTTACAACTCTTTAGCTAGTTCTCCTCTCAAAATGACATATATGACAGATCCAAGGTATTAGCTTGAGATATTTTTCTTTGGCTCAACTTGCGTAACTTTAATTGAGATAGTATTTTGCAACTTTAGTTACCTAAAACAATTTTTTTTCCTTTTTTTTCTTACCCGCATATATCGGGTATCTATTTAAAAAAAAAGCCTATTTCGTAAATCCCAACTGTTTTTACTTTCTTGAAAATCACTTTTTGCAGTGTACTATTTTTAATCAGGCAATAAGAGATAAAACTGACACAAAGTATACACTGGAAAAAAATTAACAAATAGTCCAAATAAAGGAAACTAAACTCTATGTTGCATGTTTGCCTGAAAATGAAACAGCTGTGGAGGAAGTGGAGAGGGGAAATGAAAACTACATAAAATAAAGTGGTGCGAGAGACTTAACACTGATATTAAGTTTTAAATGACCAATTGGTTTTATGGATGTTACGGAAGAAAAATGGCTGCAAAATAGTTATCAGAGTTATTTCTAAGAGACCTCGCCTCAAACTCTCTTTAAACTGACAATAAACGCAGAAAATGATTTACAATGGTAGTAAGTCTTCAGATGAGATACACCTATCTACTGAGCTGGCACTGTCAGAATGACAGCTATTTACTGAGTTATTACTGCTGAAAGCATCCATCCTGAAAACAGACATTCTCACTCACACACACACACACACACGCACGCACGCACACGCACGCACACACGATCATCAAGGTCACTGAAGCATGACAAATTAGTGCAGCTACTGCAGATTCCCTCACCTGGGGATGCTGAACAGACAAGCCTTCTGTAGGGACATTGTTGGCATCTTCCTCATTCTAGGAGGAACAAAATCAGAGGGCATAGTTGTGCAAATGCCTGCTAAATATCAAACCAGAGCACATTTTATGAAGACAAAATGCAGTTTAACCAACATTAACGGACTCTGATAGTCTATTTTTCTTTTCTTACTTGGAAATCACAGAACTTGGAGGTTTAAAATTAGGATACAAACATTTTTCTAAATGTTAGTAGGATTACTAAATGAAGCAAAGTGTTTTCAAATTGTTAATTCATATAAATATAACGAGTACAAGGATGAAAAACTAACTTACATTTTTGGCCTCATATTTGAGCCTTCGGGACTAAACAGAGGGGAAAAAAGAACATTTTCACATAATCATGCAAACAAATATTAAAATCTATTTTAAAACATTCCTACAGAAAAGAAACAAACTGCTCATAATTTTAATATTTGCAGTGTTTTTTAATGTTTGTTCGCTCAATACTTTTTTTTCTTTTTATGATACAAAACTGTCTGAAAGTAACAGGATTACCATAAACAGAAGGAAATGATCATGATATTCCTTCAGCAGTGTCTTTCTTTTTTAAACCATTGTGAGATATTATTAATTACATCATCCATTAAAGTTGAGTCTTTATCAAAAGGCTCTTTGATCAAAGCAATCTTCTTCCTCCTGTCTAAAATCCGTACAGCAATCTTCCAGCTCACTATAGTGACCTCATGGCAGACTTTCTCAGCCATCTGCTATAAAACTAACTGACCAAGGAGGGCAGAAATGAACGAGGGTGGTGCAGAACAGTTTGATCTGTTGGGTTAGGTGTGACATGCACAGCTTTAATAACTTTATGGATTTTGTTGTGCTCACCCTGCCCTGATTCACCGCCGCCTTCCCCTCCTCGCTGCCTTCATCGAGCTCGTCGTCGCTCCACTCCCAGTCTCCATCCTCCGTCTTGTGCAGGTGGCCACTGGAGCCTGGAACTCTCCTCACCTTGAGCAACACAACACAAATTCAGCCCGTTTAAAATTGCATTTGTTGCTTTTAGATAGAGCGTGAATGAACAATATTCTTTACTTAACAGGTCTTTAAATATTACCACCCGTAGATGCACAAGGTTGTATTCCTCATCCCAAAAAACTTGAAATTGTCCATAAACGTGAAAAGAACTAAGATGAAATGACCTGCAAATTGTTAAAAAGTTGTTTATGTTTAAGACTAATATGACGGGCTGATATTTGTCAATATTTGCAGAGCTGATTTACAAACAGGCACATTAGCAGGCAGCCCGTGTTGCTGCTAAATTTTATTTAAAGGTGCAGTAATAGTTCTTGAAAAAAGCTGTTTGACCAAGCTTTAAAAATTTTTTTTTCAAAAGGTCCAACCCCTTTCTTAAGGTTCCCTGCTAGCGTCACAGTAGCCGATTTTAGAAAACAATGCCGTAAATTTGCCGCATTACCGTGGCGGCGTCAGGGAGCTTTAAGTCATTTATAGGCGATCAGACCATGTCGATGGGTCAGACACAAGCCCCCACAATGCAGGTCAAAAATTGAGGCAAACGCGGAAGTGAAATAAATTGCAGCTCCACCCTCATTCGCTGGGGGCTGGTGTCAGAGGCGAGCAAATCCTCATTGACTCCCATGTTAAAAATACCTATTTCATAGCAGAAATAAACATGTTTACAGCCTGGTACCAAAACATGTTTTAGGTTTAAATGATCTAGTTTACACTCATGACAACTCTGAGGGGGGAGAATTTTTTTCAAACTCTTCTGTTTAAGTGTATTAAAAGCCTAAAATTCTGTATAATTAATGAGCATCAGACCCACGTGACCACCACATCAGACCCACGTGACCACAGAGCTAGCTCCGTAGAAAGGCCTCAGCCTGAAAACTGGTCAGTCATTTTCAGTCTCTCAACTTAGACCCTTAGTTGTGCCATTTGTGTATTCTTTTTTGGATATTATTTGTGCAATTGTTGGACAAAATGACTTGCTGTGGCATTAATTGCACTAATAGAGCGTCCAAGGAGTCTCCACTTCATTTTTTTCGGTAAGTAAAATTATATTTATGTATTTTAGGTCACTGCCGAGCTGAGCTTAGATTTTAACATGTACTGTTTAACCATGAAATTTAAATGTAACAGGGTAAAACCCAGTACATTTAACATAATGCTGCACTTTACAAAATGGGTTGAAATATAACATGTTGGTGGAGCTGGGTTCCGACTATCGGCTTGTGGAGCTCTCGGGAGACCTCTGTTTTCCACCCGTTTCTCCCCTCCCCACAGCTCGGCGCATCTCTGATCGCCGCGGCTTCTGTCTGCTGCGCGGGCTGCCGGCTTGTGGAGCTCTCGAATGGAAACCGATGTTTTCCACCCGGTTCTCCCCAGCGGCAGCTCTGCGCATCTCAGATCGCAGCGGCGCTTGTCTGCTGTGCGGCTGCCGGCTTGTGGAGCTCTCGGAGACCTCTGTGTTCCACCCGGTTTTACCCAGCGGTCAGCCCGGCGTATCTCTGACTCAGAAGTTCAGGTGTTGTGCACAGTTAACTCCGGTTGAAGCTAGGTTGCTACCTCCGTTAGCTTAGCTCCCACCTCCGCGTTAGCTTTGGGTTAGCTTCAGGTTAGCTTGTAGCTAGTTCGACCGGGTGTCGTCAGTTGATCCCAGCCTTACAGCCCCACCCTCAGCTCCTCCTCTCTTCCCTTTTGTGGAATTGTCTGGGCTTGACGGAACCTGTGACACGGTCAAAATGGCGGTGGTGGCCACCTTCCATTTATCTTCAAAAACGTGTTATTGGAGCCTATGGAAACCCATTGTCCACAAACGTATGTCGATGGTCAGACAGCGGCGGTAATGTGGCAAAATCATGTCCTTTTTATAAAAGGTTAGGCAATGGCGGCATAAAGGAGGTACGGGGACGGTCCCTGCGCTGCCGTGGATTTCTGTTCATCTTGGACATAACTTGATTTTTGTTACGATTAAAGCCGCGATTGTTACGTTTTTATAAGCTCTTAAAGGTGTGTGTCCCACACAGTCCCCGTGCAGTCTCTGATGATCTGAGCTCCAGCTCCAATAGAGAAAAGCCCCAGGAGCGCTACGCGCCCCAGTTTGCCGTTTCAGCTGATTTTATTCATAAAGCAAAACTTACGGCCTGTGTTTACTTTCATTTTCAATATAGTTACCAGCCGGAGCTCGGAATCAATTCCCTACGTCAATGACACAAGCCTCTGTTGTGCCAACGCGCGATCACAGTTTATGAGACTGACAATTACCGCAATATTACTACCAAGCAAGGCGGAACGAATGCCGCAAAATTCGAGCATTGCCTTTGTTACGGCTACCAGCCTGGCCATTGGGATGCAGGAGCCAGGATCACCCAGCCCCTGTGATCAGCCTGACACTGCCCCTCCTCCTCCTCTCTTCCAGGCTGCTGAGGAGCACAGCTGATCTGAATCCTGCTGATGACCCACACCTGGATAAAAAGGCTGTGCCTTCAGCAGTCTGCGAGGCAGCAGTGCAGGGGTTCTGCTGTCCTCCAGGCCTCAGTTTGGTCTCAACCCCTTCGATTTAGAAGAGTTTTAACTTTCATAGTTTTAACTCTGTGTGATCCACATGGATCTTTTGTTAATGTCAACTTGGTTGACTCAGTTTTAAGGTTAACTCGGTTTTAGTTTTTAGACTTTTATCAACTTCGTTGTGGTTTTAAACACCTTCAGTTTTGGTAAAACTTTTAAAAGTTTTAACCAGGTGTTTTATATAGTTGATAATTTGTCTTTTAAATGTTAACCTTATAGTGACATTTTCGTTTTGCATTATTTTAATAATGCTCGCCATCTGTTTGCACTTGTTTTTAAAACCTTTTATCACAATTAAACCCATTTTAAATCCACTGTCGCAATTTTTATGTTACCCCCTCCTTCACATTTTAACACCTCCTGTCGGGGACGTAACAGCCTTTCTGGCACGGCGCGTTTATCAGACACCGTTGCGACAATATTCCACTGATCTGCCCACACGATGTGTCTCGAAAAAGGGGCTAGAATGTGATGGCTGCAGAAAAATCTGCTTGCAACACACACACACACACACACACACACTCAGCAGCAGACACACAGCTCTGCTGAGCTGCAGTTAAAGTCAACTTTTCCAGAAACAATTCCAAACCAAACTCAACCTCCTCCCATTCGCTTTATGCACCATCATAACAGGGCTGCAGATGTTCAAAGGAGCAGTTAGATGGATGGCTGATGGTCCAATCATTGAGAATGGGAACAAGTGCTGGATTGGATGAGGTTTTCCAAGATTGTACATTTCAGAAGTGATTAAAAAATTTTTTGGTTGCCATTGGTACATGAAAAGCATTTCAAGCAAAATGGCAAAAAAAAATTCTGAAATTTTTTCTCAGACGGTACCTTTAAATGTATATTTGGACTCCTGATAAACATAATAATAAATGTTCCAAAATATGAGCTGACATTTCTTTTTATTTGCCTCTTTTATATTTAAAGCTTGGTCAGTTTATTGATTTGTTTGAATAACTTTGGTAAAATGTTTGATCTTAATAATGTGCAAGACAACAAATTAAGATGCAACAGTTGGTTACATTAAGAGTTCAAAAACTGATTCAAGCTCAGAACTGTTGTGCATCGGCTCTTCTTATTACATTTCATTTTTACATTTTTTGCATGCAAGGTAGAAAACGTCTAAATATCAGCACTGAAAATCCAAAGCCATCAGTGGACTGACAGTTGACGTATCAGCTATGGTATCAACATTAGAAAAAGCCATATCTGTTTCTCTCTATTGTGACTTTCAGAATATGTCATTTTCAAAGCAATAAAAGCCAACTTTTAATATGTTTTATTTAAAAGTCTCCACTTAACTAAAAATGTATAATGAAGCCAAAAATATATATTAAATTATATTATTCTGATTGCAACTCGAATAGAGAAAGAGAAAAAAAAACTCTCCCACTTTGTCTCAAATATGACAAAACAGCATTTAGTAAGAAGCACGGCTAAAGATCCACCATAGAGAAAAGATCCAGACAGTAAAATCATTGGTCGAATTTTTGATTTAGTCACTTTTACAGTCTGGAAAAGTATGCAAGTCATTCAGTATAAGGCTGCATCTCACTGAGATCAGATGAGCTGCAAAGTGATACGGAGGAGTCAGCACACAAAACTGTAAAGCCACCAGCTCCATAAATTCCCAAAGCTCTGGACGAGGTCAGAGTTAAAGCAGAGCTGCCCTTCAGCTGGTGTCAGGTTTACTTTCCAATTCTGAGAGAGAACAAAGACACCCGCAGTTCTGCTCGGGGTCTCTGTGCAAAGCAGACACAGATCAATGCACTCAAAGGCCGAACACGATCGCCCAGCCGACAGAAATCAAGGATTTCAGAAGCTGCAGCACAAACAGCACTTTTTACAAATCTGGCCTAGAAAAGTAACCATACCTGCTTCTGGGGATCAGTTGTGCACAAAACCATTCAAAAAAACTTTATCAGTTAAGTATTTGTTTCATTTTTTAACAATTAATATTTCAACTCCAGATTGGGGGTAACCTTTCACATTTTTAAGACCTGCTGTTAAATTATGGTGGTTCTGGGCGCCCTCTGCTGGATCTTTAGCTGAAATGCAACTAGGCTGCTGAAAGTCATTTTATTTTATTTTTTACAATTTAAATTATAATATGAAGAATCCCTGTTTTACAAAAGCAGCATGACCCTTTCTTCCTGCTCTGTAAACAGGCTATCCATTCACTTTCTTCACCGATTACACAACAATATTAATGACTTTATGATGACAGGATCTACCATCTCGTTTTCATTTTCTTGAGGATTTAAAAAGAGAACTTAGATCCCTTTAAAAAAAACTGTGCAAATTCAGGTCTGGTCTTTTAACTCCTGTTAATATTTGTTTCCTTGGAGTTGGCGCATTCGCCAGGACTACCAGAATCCCACAATGGGAGAAGAACGACGAGGAACGGAGGTTGCAAAAGGGCAGCGAGAAAATGCTTCAGATCAGGAAAGTCAAGAGACTTTAAAAAGGGGTTGTGTTAAGAGAGGAGCTGAACAAAGAGGTTTGGGGGCAGCAAAGGTCACGGTATCCCGGGTTTTTGCAGCATTACTCGTCTCTGCAAGCTTTGGGTAATGCTGCTGAGTTTATAATGTGGATGACTCTGCAGGTCAAATCAGCACAAAACAACAAGCTCTGTTACAGATCTCCATGACTGCATTACTCTTTTATCCCAACTCAGCACGTGGAAAATAAATAGTTTATTACAGTGGGCCCTCCAATTTTTAATCTGTAACTTTACCTCACAGGATCGCTGGGCTGTAACACACACTTACAAATATTTAAGCAGCAGCCTGTCCCCTTAACATAGATGCTGCTATAACCCCCACCACCACCTTGATTGTGCATGATTCTGACATCATCCACCTGAATGCAAGTTCTGTTTACTATGTCCTTCATTTACTCTTTTCCAGGAGTGATGCTGAAAAACTAGTTCATGCATTTATTACATCAAGACTGGATTACTGTAATTCATTACTCTCCGGAAGTCCACAGAATGTAGTTAAAAGTCTTCAGCTTGTCCAAAATGCTGCAGCTAGAGTTCTGATGAGAATTAAAAAGAGAGATCATATCTCTCCTGTCTTAGCTTCCCTACATTGGCTACCTGTTAAATTCAGAATAGATTTTAAGATCCTCCTTCTCACATATAAAGCTCTTAATAATCAAGCTCCATCATACATCAGTGATCTGATTGTTCCATACGTTCCTAACCGAGCACTTCGCTCTCAGACTGCAGGTCTACTGGTGGTTCCCAGAATATCTAAAATTAGGATGGGAGGCAGATCTTTTAGTTATCAGGCTCCTCTCCTGTGGAACCAGCTCCCAGCCTTAGTCAGTGAGGCAGACACTTTGTCTACTTTTCAGAATAGGCTTAAAACATTTTTATTTGATAGGGCCTATGGTTAAAATCTGATGTTAGCCTAGATCTGGACAAGTGGGGGAGTAGAGGGAGGTGGAGTGTACAGTCGGTAAAGACGGCTCTCCTTGCCCTGCCTCCAACATGCCTCCATCTAAATAGGATAGATTATCCTGAGTTATCTCTGTAGTTATGCTGCTATAGGCTTAGACTGCTGGAGGATACACTGACCACTTTTCACACTCTACTGCCTTCTTCTACTATCTGCTCTTTAACTGTATTATTTTCTGCAATTTCAGCTGTTAACTTTGTTTTCTCTCTAAGTGTTTTCCTCCCCAGAAGAAGCTACAACAATGTTCTGCTGAGCTGTGGTGGCCTCATGGAAGGGGCCATCATCTAGCACACTGCTGCTAACCACTTAAACATTCTCCCTCTCCTGATAATAACTTTTTGCTTTCCTTGACGTTGGATGTGCTACTACTAGTTTATCCGTTTAATTATAGATTCACTAGGATAAATACAATAAAGTTTATCTCTCACCAAATAGAATATTTACTAAGACATCACAATATAACTATAGACACATTACCTTTGAGTGTGTGTGTGTGTGTGTGTGTGTGTGTGTGTGTGTGTGTGTGTGTGTGTGTGTGTGTGTGTGTGTGTGTGTGTGTGTGTGTGTGTGCGCGTGCGTGTGTGTGTGCTCTGTCTTCTCGATCCCCAGTGAGTCGTGGTGGATGGCTGCTTATACTGAGCCAGGATTCTCTGGAGGTTTCTTCCTGTTAAAAGGGAGTTTTCCTCTCCACTGTCGCTTTATGCTTGCTTAGTATGAGGATTGTTGTAAAGTCACTGACACTAGTCAGTGACTTGATGCAATTAGCTGGGTTCCTTATATAGGAAACATTATTTCTGATTGGCTTAATGAACTGACCTGAATTGGAATGTTTATTATGTGAAGTGCCTTGAGACGACTCTTGTCGTGATTTGGCGCTATATAAATAAACTTGAATTACTCCCAACCACGTGAGCTAATTTCCACCCCTGCTCTCGGACACCCCCATTACTCCCTTTCCTGCCTTCTGGCAATGACCTCCCTGATCCTGCTTCAGTCCTGTGCATCCAGACGGATTATTATGTCAAGCCGATATCAGTTGTGCTTAAAAACTACACTTCCTCTCAGCACAGTAGGACCAGTGAGGCTGCAGAGCAAAGAAATGCAAATAAATTCTGCAAAAAATAAATATTATTTAGCTTCATCGTGTGATTTTTACATCACCGAGCCTCATTTGTACATATTTTACACGTACTGTAAATGCATCACTCTGATGGAGAAATCCACCAGGATTATGTACACGTACCTTCTTTGCTCTCTGAGAAATCTTTGGTGCACATGCCAAAAGCTTTTCAATAAGATATTCTTTGTTCTGCAAGGGGGAAAAAACTGTTAATGAAGGAAGTTACCAACAAATTCATTTAATGTTCATCATGTATAATTATTTTATTAAAACATCTTCTGGTGCTAATGCTGAAAAAGCTTAATGACAATAATGATTAGATTTGATTTGTTTTGAAGATTTTTCTGACTTAAAAAAAGGCAAATATCACAAGAGAAGGGAAAAATGCTCCAGCTGAGGTTTAAATCTAAATCTGTGCAAAGACATTGCTAGCCACCTGCTCATCTGACAAATTACTAGGGATGCAACGATACCACTTTTTTCCAAACCGATACGATACCGATACTTGGAACTGAGTACTCGCTGATACCGATTACCGATACAGATACTTCTACCACACAAAAAAATGCAATGAATTGGAATACATGTTTTATTTTCTTCTGTTTTCAATAGGAAAAGACTGTGAGGTAGATAAAAGGTAGTATAAGTGATCACAAAACTAAAATATTAGGTGAACAGAAATGACAAGTTACAGTGAAGACACTTTCAAGCAACTGCATTGGTATCAGTTACTGGAATCTGTTAACTTTTACCGATACCGATATTGGTATCAGTATCTGTATCGGCACTGATACAGATACCAGTATCGTATCGGTGCATCCCTACAAATTACCATAATTAACATGTTGCTGGTGTGCAGATTAAAATGTCTCAAAATGTAAACAAAGAATAAAATGTGACTAATTAAGAATATTTTTATTTTAAACGGACTAGATGGTTTCTGTGATGTTTATTCTTTACTTTTCTCTCATTAAATGTCCATATGAGAGCAAGTATTTGGAAATTTTTATCTAGTATCTAACAAAATTGTCTGGTTTTACATGATAAACTCTTATTCTTTTGAATTTTTTTTTCCTTTTGCACATTTTTAAACCCTCTGCAGTTTAAAAAAATCTTCATAAACTAACAAGAAGTCTCTGAAACACAGAGGTGAGTCACTGCAACTGGACTTGGCACGAAGCCACAAGCAAAACATTCATAACAAAAGCAAACAAACATTTCAGATGAAGCAAATACCTTGGCCTTTTGGAAGAATTTACACTTCAAAAGCTCTGCGGCTGTGGGTCTAGAGATAAAGCAAACATAAAAAATGTATGTGCAGTGAACATTGATAACAAGTCATAACATTATAGAAAATAGGGGCCTTTTAAGCTAAAAACCTCTATTAAGATGGATATGTGACATAAAAATAACTCAATTCTTCTACAAGTTTAAAACAAGATGTTAGCTACAAATTTAGTAGCACAAACAAATATTTTTGGATTAAAAACAACAAAATTTTATGTTAAAAATACACCAGACCTCAGAAAATATTAGAAAAGACGATGCAAAACTTCAAAAGTTGCAAACCTTTTGGCGGGATCCTTCTGAAGGCACATTGATATTAACTTCCGAAACGACTTTCCATATTTTTTGAGCAATTCTTTGTCTTCAACGCCCGTCTCTAGAGTGGGTGGATCATTCTGCAGGGTAAGCATTAAGACCTGAAAACACAGGAAAACAGTTAAAACCACCAACCCGTTTACAGCAGAAACCTAAAATAACACTGAGTAGATGAGGAAAAGAAATGAGGAAATGAGCGGCCAGGCTAACAGCCTTTATGTTGTTGTTAGTGCGGCTGGTTTAAAACAAAAAAAAAGAAGCTTTTTTTTACTTTTTTTTCCTGCTAATAATGAAACTTCACAGAATCAAAAGGGCATTTAGGAGAAACCCAGAAGTGTGTGCCCCGTTTCCTCTCGTCTTTGTCAGTGAATGCCACCGATGATTAATGATTCATCTGAAACTCTCACCTTCATGGGGGGGTAGCAATGATAGGGTGCAGATCCTGTTGCTAACTCTATGGCTGTGATTCCAAAACTCCATATATCTGCTTTGAAATCATAGCCTCGAACCTGAGCACACAGGATTACAAACGGTACAATATACAAACTTAAATCTATGGCTCAAGAGATTGTTTTAGAGATTTAGCATCAACTCGAATTAAAGACTCACCTGCTCCATCACCTCTGGAGCCATCCAGCAAGGAGTGCCAACGAAGGTCTTTCGAACTTTGTTCCTGGTCATGTCACCCCCTGTTGCTAGGAATGCACTTACCCCAAAATCTGTAAAAGCAAATCAAATAAAGACAATAAAATAGTGCATTTTCTGACTTAAAAAAATGTTGTTCCTTGCACTTTTAATCATTATATTTGATGCCTTATAGTTTCTTTGAATTTTGTTTAATATTTTCACTGACACTAAAATCAGTTGATGTGCCTCTGGGGTTTGTTGATCACAACAGAAGCACGTCCCTACAAGACATCAGCGTTGAATCTACAGCTTGATATAATAATGGTGTACTAGAAAGACCTTGTTTTTACTGTTCTTTGAGCCTCTATTGAGCATATGACAGTTTGTTGGGGCTCAAAATGGCCCAGGAGCCCTGATTGATGACCAAACACAATCCCATAATAAAGCTGCACAATGGAAAGATCAGGTTGCCCCTCCCACTCATCCAGGGCATGACTATTAAATGAGAATATTAATTGACCAGATACTCCAACGACTGTTTGACTTCCCGATGTTACAAAGTTTCTGTTTTTATGTATGTGTGTGAGTGTGTGTGTGTGTATGGGGGGGGTCCTATGGATCTATCGTCATAGTCCTGACATTCCCAGTACATCCTGGAACATGTGTGTTGCTCCAACAATCATTTTTGTTGATTTCCTCTCGTCCAACAAGGACGTTGGCAGAAGCTTAAGCTAGTGTTAGCGGTAGTTCAGGCTGGCGCTGTTCTGCAGATAGCATTACCGTGATCATTGTTTATATACCGCTGATGCTGATGTGGATTTGGACAACAATTTGGCCCTGAAAAATATCTGCCCTGCTGGCTATCTAGAGTGTGTTGGGGGACCAGTCCACCCCTTGGATGTGCAGATTTAAGGCGATGTGTCTAAGCTTATGATGCGTTACACCAGCTTTTCTCAGAACGAACCGTTTTCCATTCCATTCCATTTTATTTATAAAGCACATTTCTACACGGCCGAGGCCAACAAAAGTGCTGCACAGTAAAAGAGCATAAAAATCAACACATAGGAAGAAAGTGATAAAAGTAGTACAGTAACTACTATAAAATCAATAAAAATTAAACTAAAACATCGTCAAATGCTATCCAGACTGAAGTAAAAGCCAAGGAATAAAAATGAGCCTTCAGGCGTGATTTAAAATCAGAGGGGGGGGGGGGGGACGTTCTCGCTGCTAGAGGGAGTTGGTTCCAGAGACGAGGCGCACAGATTGAAAAGGCTCGTCCTCCTCGCGTCCTCACCCGAACACTTGGGACCTGTAACAGGCGGTGGTCTGCTGATCGAAGAATTCAACCAGGTATGTAGGGCTGAACCAGCTGAGTCAAGTACAGAGGCGCATAAAGATAGAGTGACTTAAAAACAAGAAGTAAAATATTAAACTGGATGCAGTGGCGCACCGGGAGCCAGTGCGGTGGGTCAGAACAGGAGTAATGTGCTCCCTCCTTCTGGTGTTTGTCAAGAGGCGGGCCGCCGCATTCTGCACCAGCTGTAGGCGCGCAACCGCGGAAGATGTGGATGCATAAAAAAGGGAATTTGCTTAATCCAAGTGAGAGATCACAAAAACCCTGCATTGACTTTGGACTCGACTTGGACTTGGTTGTCTTTGACTTGGACTTGACTCGTGTAGCATATTTAACTACATGCTAGAATCAACACTGTTTGCTATCAGTTTTGTTAAATTCTGAGAAAAGATCCAAACGAGTTAACAATGAAGCTTCTGTTATATATAAATATCTAGGATATTATATATTTGATAGAAGTTCAGCTGGAAAAAGCAGGATCTAACCACCTGGCTAATGCGGGAGTCAGTCTGCAGCTCTGGGTCCAAAACCACCCCCAGGTTAGTGATGGTTGGCTTCACTAAGCTGTGAAAACTGGGTGGCAGGACTAACTGCAGTGGGAGAGGGAGGGACAAATAAAAAAGAGCCTTCAACTTAGACTCATTCAGATGTAAAAGTTATAATAAAGCCAGCCCTTCACCTCGTTTCCCACAGCCATTACAAAATTACTAACATGCAAAGAAAGCAGGTCAGAGTCTGCACAGACTTTTTGATTTGCAACATTAGATGCACCAATCTGCCTGCATCCAACAAGGTAAATGCAGTTTTAAACTCAAGGGTACCTTCAATTTTAAAGTTACATCCCATTTTAATCAAAATTTCATTTAACTGGGAACAAATTTATTCCATCTTTCATTAAAGCACCATTTAAATATTTAATATGGTTTAAAAAAAGGTGTAAACTTCTATTTGTTTAAATAAACTGAATCCATCCAATCTGCCAATGTTTCTAAAAGCTATTTTCAAGGTGCCAATACGAGTGAAGCATTTCTTTTGGCACGTTACAGCTTTCCGTACTCACCATAAGGGCATACTGTCACTCAAAGAGGGCACAGCTCAAAATGCCACTTCAGTAGCCTCTTTTTCCTGTAACTTAATAAAACATGAAAAACATCTGCCTGATGTCTGCCTTGTGGCAAAATTAGACTTCAAACAAGACGTGAGCAGCTGCGATTTTTCATCCGTTAGCTCAGTAATCAGAAGAGTTGTTGTGGGGTTTAAATAAAAAGCTTAGAAAAATCTTTAAAATGAGCATACTGTGTGATTTTTGTTTTGAACAGTGAATAAAACAGGAGTGTGTTGCACAAACCTGCAATCTGAACAGACCCATCTTCTCCCAGCAGTATGTTCCCAGCTTTCACATCCCTGAGGTCAACAAAACAATCACAGAGTAAAACATCAAAGCTACATGCAACAGCATTGATTCTTCCACTCGTGGTAGCGAGTCCTAGTGACCATCCTAACTAGAAACCCCCCACCCCACCCTGAGCAGGGGTTCAAATCCGGATCTCAGTGACCTTGAAATCCAGCAAACGCTCAGGACAACACAACTGAGCTGAGACCAGATGGATGCACCGATTTTGTTCATGAAAAAACTAGAAGTCATCAGTTTAACTATTTTTATTATCTGCAATGCCACAACACAAGCGCATTTTGCTAAATTTACTATCATTTGAATGAAACTGACTGATTTGAGTTACCTGTGAATTTGTCCGTTTCGATGGAGATAATCCAAACTCTCCAGAACTTCTTTTAATATTGTAGCAAGGATGGGCTCGTCTAAATATCGATTTTTGTCATCGTCTTTGCTCGCATGTTTAATTATGTCCAGCATGGAGCCTGCAAAGACATCAAAAATAAATAAAATCTCTGAAGATAAGCATACTTTTTTGACTATTGGACATCACCGTTTAATTTTTGACTTTTCCGTTGTAGATTACAGACAAAGAGACAAATGAAGCATAAGCATCTAGATCAGAGCCTGTTTATGCAGTATGAAATCCATCCAAGTCACCTCCACTCAGGAGCTTCATGACCAGCCAAAGTTCATCCTTCACGACAAACGAGGTGTAGTAGGAGACGATGTTTGGATGACTGCACTGGCTCATGGCGAGAATTTCTTTCTATAAACAGAAGAAAATGAAAAGACACTTCTTCTGATCAAATGTTTCTGAGCTTGAGGAGATGATGAGATTATTCTGAGGTCACACAGCTGCAAAAAGTGACAAAAACACAAAACGGAGACAAACAGCCCACATTTACTGAACTCACCAACAGCTCGTCCATGCTGGTCTGGCATTTTTCCAGGTTGATTCTCTTTATGGCCACGCGCTCTTGTCTGGGGGTACAGAGGGCGGCCTGCACCACAGCTGTGGCCCCGCTGCCTGCAACCACATCCACGTATGAGCCAAGAGGGAATCACATCACAAACACGAACACAGCTGGACAACTTTAAAACTCAGCCCCACTCCGTGGCTTTTGTGTCCAGGTAGCAGCTTTTGTTTTCATGCGTGATGGCTGAAATAAGCTGACCTTCACATGCAGCTCTTCTATAAACAAAAGGAGTTTATGACAAAGCTGGCTGTGATGTTTATGTTTGTGTATTTAGCAGACGCTTTTGTCCAAAGCGACTTACAAGTGATAATCGGCATGTTGCCCTTGAGGCTAACAACAACAACAACAACTTGACATCAATCGTGGAGAGGAGGGAACAAGGAGATTGGGGGGGACGGGTGCAGGGAGGGTGCTAGTTAAGAAGATGCTCTCTGAAGAGCAGGGTCTTCAGGAGTTTCTTGAAAATTGAAAAGGAAGTCCCTGATGTGAAGATGTAGAGCCATTCACACCAAGACGATGCAGCAAGGCGCTTGCCAGCTGGCAGTGGCAGATAAAGCTCAAGTCAATAAAACGTGAGATCTGAAAGTTTCCCAGCTGATTGTAGTCAGTAGCACAGCTGAAGTCCTATTTCTCATCACTAATCGTTTGGCATGTAAAAGTATTTCAAGACTACATAGATTTGCATAAAACTGTCCTCGCTTTGGTAGTTCTTTACTTCTTTTTTCAAAATTACTTAATGCAGACACAACAATTTGGAATTTCCCTACTTATCTTAATGTAATTAAACATAAAGTGTTGCAGCTCATTTTTTCTATTTATTGCATTTATATTCTCCTTGTAACTTCAGTTTATTCCTTTATATAATGATCGTAATTCATACCACATGAGCAAACCTTAAAACTCATTTTGAGATTTTCTGATAACATGTAAATCACTTGTCATAAAAAAGCATTTAAAACTGAAATTGTTGTTTTAGATGCTCATATGGCACAAAACAATGTAGAAATATGAACAGAGTGGCGGAGATTTGATGCAAACTGCATAATAACACATTTTAAACACATATTTAAGTTTGTGGCTTCCTGTTTTCTATGTAACATTAAAATGTGATCTTGGGTTAAATCTATTCAGATATATGCTGTTAAAGCCCATAGAAGACAATTAATTGACCAAACAAGCTTAATTTTAAAGAAACTATATTAGCTACTATCTGAATAATGATTGTTAAAACACATGAAAAGTTTATAAACACTCATAAATGATTTGGATAACAGTGAAAATAAAGTCTGATCTCGCTGAAATCGGTCATTCTCTCCTCTGTAATCCTTCTGTGATAGATTAGAACTCCAGTTCCGTTTTGTTGGGGGAGTAATCTGATATTTTAGATTTCGACAGGAAATTAGAAGCATGTGATTTCAGTAATAACTAATAAACTATTAACTTGGCTGTCTATAAGATCAAAAAGAGAGGCGATGACTTAGCGCCCCGAGCAGCTGGACCGATTCCGCCTGGTTTGAACGGATCTGTCGGTTAACATCCGCATTGCAAAGCACCACAGGGGCTAAAAAAAAGCCGGTAGGCCTTCACTCTGTCTTTCCGTGATGACCCCCCCACCATTCGGTCCCCGGGTACTAACCTATGACTTCCTGCAGTTCGTACGACTCCCTGGTAATTGGCCAGCCGGTTGTCACCGCGGGCTGCGGATGGTGGACGGTGGGAGCCGGAGGTTCGCCTTGATCCGCCATAATGATAATGATGGGGATGATGATGCGCTAGTTAGCCGCCTCTGACACCGTCTGTCCGGGCAGAGAAACTGTTTGACCTCCCCTCCTCAGTGGAAGTGTCAGCTGGCAGCTGCAGCACGACAACCACCGCCGACACAGACCGAGCACAACCCGGAAAATAACCGAACACACACACAGATACGCACGCACACATGCGCGCATAATTACGCGCGCGCACTCACCAGCAGACACTGCAATTCGCTACACACAGGAAGACCTCAGTAAGCTATTTAAAAAATGAAATTGAAAACAGCCAAAAGCTGTTTTGTTTTGTTAAAAATAAGCTTAAATTACAGTGTTGACGTTTATTTTATTACAATTAGATAGATAGATGTCACTTACTAGTCACTGACGTGCATACGTCACGATGTACTGTCAAAAATCAGAACTGCACGTGCTGTTTTTCACTTAGGCCAGAAGAAGGCGCCAGCGCACTACGTTTAGACCATCGACATATAAATATGGTTTATACACGAAGAGCTGGTTTTTGTTCGAGAAATCAATTAATGTGCTATGAATTCATACAGATCTACTCAAAAATACCCAAAATAGGCAAATGAAACACAATAAATCCTAAAAATATAGACATTAAAATTAAAACCATAAAGGTATAAACATGAACAAGGTTAAACAAGTAGATTTGGGGGAAATGATACATTGAGACATATTTTTCTTTATTTGATTTATTTTATCTCATCAAAAAAGTAAGGAAAACAACAGAATATGCATAGCAACACAAAACACTTTATGAAAAGGAGCAGAGAGCAAAAATATCTTCTATTAGCCTATCTGCTCCTTTTTACAAAACAAAAACAGCAGCATTACAGTCCGAATCCAGCTTTAGAACATAAATATAGATTTATCACATAAAACAACCAGATATGGCGAAATAAAAACGCATTTTATTTCAAAAATGTGCTCCTTTGTGTTTTTTTAATTTAATCACCACATCTGCCAGCAGGTGGCAGACTTTTACCAACTATGAAATCTATCCTCATCATGTTCCGTTTTCTGCTTTTATTCATTTGGTTTGGTTCTGACGTTTGTGATGAGGCTCAGTAGGCTGGCCTTTGGAGAATTTATTTAATTGGGCTATTTTAAAAAATAAATAATTGAGAGGGCATTAAACTCGAACGGCAATATCCGATCGGAGCTAGGATTTCTGTCTGTTTTGTTCTGGGATGTATTTTTAGAATAACAGAGCCGTAATAAAGCCTGGCTAACGCGCAGCGTCTGCGCTGCTTGACATTTCAACGCACCAATCCGTTTGTGAGGAGCTGATTGAGTCGACTTCCCCACACTCACTGGGACAGTTGAAGGGAAACGCACACGGATATCTCCTCATCTTCACGTCCGACGCACAGCGAGCCATCCAGTCTTCTCTTCGGTGCCTGCTGCAGGGAGATGGCCGGGATACTGGCGTGGTTTTGGAATGAGAGGTTCTGGCTCCCGCATAATGTCACCTGGGCTGACTTGAAGAACACAGATGAGGCGACGTTCCCGCAAGCTGAGGATCTCTATCTGGCGTGTCCTTTAGCCTTCTGCATCTTTATGATACGGCTGGTTTTTGAAAGGTGGGTCCGGCTAAATCAGGTGGCTGGGATGGTTCTGTTGTATTCAACGATGCGCAGTCTGATTCCCTAAAAAAAAGAAACCCAAATGGCATCGGATGTGGTTTTAGTCTACAAATCAGCACGGGTTTATCATCCATCTTCTGCAGGCCTGCAGCGATCTCTTTGCTTTGATGCATCTGACAGCAGCCAACTTACCTGTCCCTGCAGCCCAAACCTTAATCCAAACAAAACGAAACAAAAAAGACTCTTTTAACTGCGTTTTATTCAGATTTCAGCTGATATGGGGAATGCATGTCTTGGACTGTTATTGTTCAGTCATCAACAAAGAGATCTCACGATCACTGATGAGTCTAATAGACGAGGCCTTTCCCAATTAAACCTTCTGTTCAAAAATTAAAAGGAATCTTTAACAGAAGCTATGATGTTTAATTAATAAGCTCATAGTCCTCAATGAGTGAGCACATCACAAACAATTCCCTTAATAAAACATATGCACAGGTGATCAAATGACAACTAGCAGCACTTCTAAAAGATGTGTGCATTGTTGACATGCAATGTGTCCTACTTGTAACTCTAAATTCAAATTTCATTGTTTTCATATGCAATGCGTTTTGATTGCAGGTTTATTGCAAGACCATGTGCCATGGGTTTGAAGATCCAAGCCAACGGGCCACAAAAGGCTCAGCCAAATGCTATCCTGGAGAAGGTTTTCACTGCTATAACCAAGGTGGGGTATGCATACTCTTTTTGATTTTCATATTTGGAGAATTCATTCTCTAACTAAACAAAAATGTGTTTTTTCCCGTCAGCATCCAGATGAAAAGAGACTGGAGGGTCTGTCCAAGCAGCTCGACTGGGACGTGAGAACCATCCAGCGTTGGTTCAGGCAGCGGCGCAATCAGGAGAAGCCGAGCACACTCGCCAGATTCTGTGAAAGCATGTAAGACTTTTACTTCTTAATTCAGCTGCAAATGTCCCAATATGTCAATAAATCAAACACATGTACGCAGCCTAACCATAACCAGTGCTTCATTTGAGGGCTCGTTTGAATACTGGCATCAACACCACGAGTGATGATTGTAGTCAAAACAGGCATGATAAATAAATTCCTGAGCACATTTCCATTCCGTATAAGGACAGGTGTGTGTGCCTAAAAGCAACTCACACAAATGGAGCAATTAAAGGTGACATATTGTGATGTTTTTTTTTCTCTAATTTTGATACAAAGCACATTTATGAAGTTCTTTGCGCTAAATCCCTCTCACATAAAGTGATTTCAGCAGTTTTATTCTTGACAGTTTCAGTACCTTCCAGAATGAGCCTTTCAGGACTCTGTCACTTTAAGAAAACAAGCTGGAGCTGGCCACGCCCACTCCTTTCTTGGCCACCATTAGCTGAGAAGTTCCAATACCCAGAAGGGGCTCGGAGTAGAGCCGCTTCTCCTCCAGCAACAGCTCTCTTCTGCAGGTGAGAGGTGGTTCTATGCCAGGCTTCCCATTTGTGATGTCACAAACAGGGACTTTTTGAAACAGCTTGTTTTAGACACCTAGTTTCTCAAGCCAAACACTGACAGAAAACAGATAGATGGGTTTATAGAGGCAGTAGAGACCCACATGGCAGCCCGAAAGGATGCAAAAGGTGGGTTTTGCATAATATGTCCTCTTTCGAGTAGAGAAATAATTGGCTGACTTTAAATAGCTGTAGCCAACCTAAACACTTTAAAGCCCAGAGATTTAAACTTTTTTGGACCTGTAAAGAATTCCAGTTTATCTCTGGACAAACAGAAGCAGAAAGGACTGCTTTACCCTTTCACCACCTATATGAGGTTGCTTGACTTCTGTTTCCTACATTTTGTATAAAGAGTGAAACATCAACAGTGGTCCTGCTACAAGTTAACAGTTAAATTTGAATACCAGCAAATTTGCTCAGAACTGTAACAGAGAACTAGCTAATCTGCAGCAAAGCGTTTTCCCATCAGAGAGATCATAGTGACTTAGTGGCGTGATGCTAAAGGCTGGAGAGTGAGTTTTGCTGTCAGAGCAGAGTCATGTCTGACACCGGTGGAGTAAATCTGGCAGTTTGAGATACGAGGATCCTCACAACCTCGGATCCGCCTGAGGCTGTAGTTCACTCAGGAGAGCGCGCTGGGCTGTGTAGGCTTTTGGACTTCTGTTACACCCTCACAGAGGATTCAGAAAACATGCTTCCTCTTGCTTAAGAAGAAACTGCATTCACACTCCAATATGTCTTTCGTTTAGCTTAAACAGTGGGAACAAGGTCATCTGCAGCACAATTAACAATTGCAACACATTGTCCAGGTTGTCTGCCTCAGTTGGTGCAGGTCTCTAAACAAGGGCTGGCTTCAGTCCCTCCTGCAGTGATTGTGCTGTAATTAGGCTCTCGTGACCAGCTGTTGCAGACTGATCTCTGTGTGGACGGCTCATCTGCTTTGTATTCTTTTTCATTATGTAAACAGGGAAAGCATATTTACTCATAAAATATTGAAGACCTTTTGTCTGCAAACGTGTAAAGTTCAGTGAACTCTCTTTTCCACCAAGAGTGAAAAAGCCAATCAATTTCAGCAAGAAAACTTGTCGGGAAAAAGATTTGTGAAACCTTTCCAACTTGGCTAAATAGTCAGCTAGATGAGGAAAAATACTTTGCAGTATAGCCGATTCTTCATCTGTTTAGCTCCTTTGTTACGACAGGGTTTGATGATCTGGACAGCCCAGCTGTGTGATCTAATCATCTTCCATCCATCATCTTCTTTTCTTTTACTAAGAACAGAGGCCTTAATCTAAGCAAAACAATTCTGTTTACTATTTACTCAAAGATAAGACAAGATTACAAACAGCATTTTTTGCCATTTAAAACACCTGTTTTCTGTTTATCAGGATGGCAAATCTTTCCAGAAAACTAGGATTTTTCCTATTAATGACGTTTAGTCTTTCCCATAATCTTGCAGAAATGCAGGTCAGAAATGCTTGCAGTCTTTTAATTTTCTTCAACATTATTGCTATTACCAAAACATTTACAGAATGTACCACTTTCACATTTATTTGATTAAATCGGAATGAATGTGATCATGGTTCTAGGGTGGGATCACAGAGGCTTTGGCTCCCTGTAAAGCCCCTGTCCTGTCACTCTTCTGTCCTGAAGATCAGATTTTTGACCCTTTGCATGCCACCTGATCAAGTGGGTCCACCACAGTGGACATCAACAGTGAATCACTGAACATGGGAATTAGTGATGTGACGTTCAAGAACCTCCTCCTTGAACCGTCACCTTATCGTGGTGGAGGAGTTTGAGTGCCCTAATGATCCTAGGAGCTATGTTGCCTGGGGCACTTTGTGCCCCTGGTAGGGTCTCCCATGACAAATTGGTCTTAGGTGAAGGCTGAGACAAAGAACGGTTCACAGGATCTTTCATGGATATACAATCAAAGATCCGGAGTACCCGGCCCGGAGGGTTACCGGGGTCCCACCCTGGAGCCAGGCCTGGGGTTGGGGCCTGTGAGCAAGCACCTGGTGGCCGGGCTTTTGCCCATGGGGCCCGGCCGGGTCCAGCCTGAGCCAAATACATGGGTTCATTCAACTGTGGACCCACCACCCGCAGGAGGAAGATGAAGGGTCCGGTGCAGTGTGGATCGGGTGGCAGACTGAGGCGGGAGCCTTGGAGGTCTGATCCCCGGCCAAGGAAACTGTTTTTTGGGACATGAAACGTCACCTTGCTGGCGGGGAAGGAGCAGGAGCTTGTGGCAGAGGTTGAGCGGTACCGGCTAGATATAGTCTGACTCACCTCGACACATAGCACTGGCTCTGGAACCCAAGTCCTTGAGAGGGGTTGGACACTCTGCTTTGCTGGAGTTGCTCCGGGTGAGAGGCGGAGGGCTGGGGTTGGCTTTTTTTAGCCCCAAGACTCTCTGCCTGTGTGTTGGGGTTTACCCCGGGGGACAAGAGGGTAGCTTCCTTGCACCTTCGGGTCGGGGAACGGGTCCTGACTGTTGTTTGTGCTTATGGGCCAAATATCAGTTCAGAGTACCCACTCTTTTTGGAGTCCCTGGGACGAGTGCTAGATAGTGCTCCATCAGGGGACTCCATTGTCCTGCTGGGGGACTTCAATGCTCACGTGGGCAATGACAGCATGACTTGGAGGGGTGTGCTTGGGAAGAAAGGCTCGCCTGATCTGAACTCAAGTGTTGTTTCGTTATTGGACTTCTGTGCAAGCCGCAGTTTGCCCATAACAAACACCATGTTCGAACATAAGGTACATTGCTACACTTGGTACCAGGGCAGCCTAGGTCGCAGGTCGATGATAGACTTTGTAGTCGTATCATCTGACCTGCGGCCGTATGTTTTGGACACCCGAGTGAAGAGAGGAGCGGAGCTGTCAACTGATCACCACCTGGTGGTGAGTTGGATCAGATGGCAGGGGAAGATGCCGCATAAACCTGGCAGACCCAAACGTATAGTGAGGGTCTGCTGGGAACACCTGGCAGAAGAACCTGTCAAGATGGTCTTCAACTCCCACCTCCGGCAGAGCTTTGACCGCATCCCGAGAGCAGTGGGGGACATTGACTCCTAGTGGGCCTTGTTCCACTCTGCGATTGTTGAGGTGGCTGTTGCTAGCTGTGGTCACAAGTGGCTGGTGTCAGTTGTGGTGGCAACCCCCGTACTCGCTGGTGGACACCAGAGGTTCGGGGAGCCGTCAGGCTGAAGAAGGAGGCCTACAGGGCATGGCTGGTCTGTGGGTCTCCGGAGGCAGCAGACAGGTAACGGATAGCCAAGCGGGGTGCAGCAGTGGCAGTTGCCGAGGCAAAATCTCAGGTGTGGGAGGAGTTTGGTGAGGCCATGGAGAAAGACTATCGATCGGCTCCAAAGAGGTTCTGGCAAACTATCCGGCGTCTCAGGAGAGGAAGGCAGCAACTCGCTCACACTGTTTACAGTGGGGATGGGGAGCTGCTGACGTCAACTGAGGCTGTAGTCGGACGGTGAAAGGAATACTTTGAGGAGCTCCTCAATCCCACCTACGCGCATTCCGAGGAGGAACCAGAGCCGGGAGACCTGGGGATGGACTGTTCAATCTCGGGGGCAGAAGTTGCTGAGGTACTCAAACAACTACACAGCGGCGGAGCCCCGGGGGTGGATGAGATTCATCCTGGGTATCTCACGGCTATGGATGTTGTAGGGCTGTCATGGTTGACACTTCTCTGCAACATTGCGTTGTCATCGGGGGCAGTTCCTGTGGAGTGGCAGACCGGGGTGGTGGTCCCCATCTTTAAGAAGGGTGACCTGAGGGTGTGTTCCAACTATAGGGGGATCACACTCCTCAGCCTCCCTGGAAAGGTCTACTCCAAGGTACTGGAGAGGAGGGTCCGATCGATAGTTGAATCTCAGATTGAGGAGGAGCAATGTGGTTTTCGTCCTGGCCGTGGAACTGTGGACCAGCTCTATACCCTTGCAAGGGTGATGGAGGGGGCATGGGAGTTTGCCCAACCAATCCACATGTGTTTTGTGGATTTGGAGAAGGCTCATGACCATGTCCCCAGGGGCACCCTGTGGGGGACGCTCCAGGAGTATGGGGTGGGTGGCTTTCTGTTAAGGGCCATTCAGTCCCTTTACCAGAGGAGCGTGAGTTTGGTCCGCATAGCCGGTAGTAAGTCGGACCTGTTCCCGGTGAGGGTTGGACTCCGCCAGGGCTGCCCTTTGTCACCGGTTCATTACCTATATGGACAGAATTTTTAGGCACAGCCGTGGTGTGGAGTGTGTCGAGTTTGGTGGCAGGAGAATCTCGTCTCTGCTTTTTGCGGATGATGTGGCCCTCCTAGCTTCATCCAGCTCTGATCTTCAGCTCTTGCTGGGTAGGTTCGCGGCCGAGTGTGAAGTGGCTGGGATGAGGATCAGCACCTCCAAATCTGAGACCATGGTTCTTGACCGGAAA